AAACTTTGTATGTATACATATATATATATATATCCACATGTACATATGTGTGTATATATATACACATGAGAGAGGCACCTTTAGGGTCTATTCGACGCCTTGATTTGGTTACTGTAGATGGTAAGATTCAAGAAAATACAATAATGAAGACAGTGTAATAATGGTTTAGTTACTTTAATTACTTTACTCATTCAAAAAGGGGGAAAGCCCTAGATGAAGCCAGGGGTTTGACTTATTTTAGTTATTTGGACACCAAAATTTTTGAAGTAATCGCAATACGCAAAATAATATGTCATGAGATTAAATCAGAAACCAAGCGATTGAAAGAATCATAATAATAAAAACAATTGAAATCATAAGAATATTTCAAACAAGAGGGATTTTAATAATTGTAATTATTTGGATTTCCAATTCACAAACTAAGCAACATAACTAAAACCCGGATTGCTTTATTTTTTACTTCTTCTCACTATTCGAATAGAGGGAAGTCCCAAGATAAAGCCAGGTTTTGAATTATTTTAATAATTTTGAATTTTCTTAGATAATGAAAACAATTAATTACTGGTATTTTACTTTATTAAATCAGAAACCCCGCGATTCAAATCTTTTATTGGCCTACTGTAGTTAAAAGTCGGAGTATGCAGGGAAACCCTGTCTCCAATGTCCCGGCTCATCTACCAAAGCAAAGGATGTTACCCAGAAAAGAGAAACCCGAACAGAAATTTCGGTAGGGCCTGCTCTGCAGAGTCGGGTGACTTGGTAAGTCGGCAGGTCAAGTCGTGGTGCCCTGGATGCCCCTGCCTTGAAAACCCAGCTTCACAACAATGTCTGCGATTCTCATACTGTTGATGATCTGTTGATGATCTCAATCCTGCATTACCTTATGGACCCTAAACTATGGGAATTACGGTACACTCATTGTGGGGATAAATCGGGATTTCTATCATCAACCGTAGTTACACCCCCTATACTCTCTCTAGTCTCCGAGGCTCCAAGACCTGCAGTAAGATGATACAGCCAGTCATCAAGAGACCCGTAATTCTTAATGTGCACTGCAGGACTATACGACCCGCCGGGTGCTCGTCTCCCAGTGGGTGGCCAGGAGCTGAGATGGTTTTTCTAGTCGAGGGATCAGGGTTTGATGGGGGTTTGTAGTTTTTGGGATTGAACTATTTTTTGTTCCAAACCCTAAACCCTAAACCCCTAAACCCCTAAATCCTAAACCCCTAAACCCTCAACCCTAAACCCGGGGGTGGTTGGGGATCATGCCGGATCTCCTGTTTCTTGCCCTAAGGGTCCACATATACTACTATTATGGAATTAGGTCCCAAAAAGCCATAATATGAATGGTCTTTTGGGACCTAATTCCATAATGGTAGTATATATGGACCCTCTGGGTCTTGGTCCTTGGTCGGGCTTAAGGTTCCAAAGTCCTTCGACGGAAAAAGTGGGTTGAGGTTTGTGTATACCCATAGGCCCCCTAAGTAGTTCCTTTTTGGGATTACCTTATAGGATCCTAAATATAAGCCACAAGAAGGAACTAGTTAGGGGCCNNNNCTGTAGTACAGATGGGGCTTCGGATTTGGGTTTGTCTTCAGATGGGTCTACAGGTTCGGGGGTAATTACCAGGATAGAGTTGTCTGCAACCGTTGGATGGTCGAGTGCTTGAGGAATCTTTGGGCTTTCAGGTGGCCGTGTCTTGATATGGTGATCTCAGTTCAGTCCTCGCGAGGGCATGCCCTAAAGCCCAGAAATATAGGGGCTGAGGATCAGGGTTCCAATCTTAGCCCTATAAACCCTGAACCCTAAA